AGTGGTCCTTTTTTCTTGAAATCCTACCCTCCTCCTTTAATTGCTGAAAAGAACAAAATCAAGAGCTTGTATCAATTAAGCAAAGTCAAGGAAATATATGTGTATAGTGGTCATGTCCAAAAATGGATGTCTCTTTCTGCACTTTGAGTACAACAAATCTCTGTCAGTTGGTGGGGAACATTCTTCATCATAGATCCTCTGGACACATGACTGGTCGTAACATTATTCTGAAGCCTTAGTTATTTCAAAGTTCACAATATTGTTGATGTTGTATAAATTGTTCTCCTGATTCTGTACCCTTCACTCTGCATCAGTTTATGGAGAGCCTAAGTTACTCTGATATCTCTATTTTCATTTCTTATGGTACAGAAACATGACGTTACATTCATATACCACAGAATTTGTTCAGCAATTTCCCCATTTGGTGGACATTGCTCTTAAATGCTAGTTCCTTTGTTTCCCTTTTTAATTTATCTTTGGGATCAAGAAGTTTGTTTTGCTGTTGAGTAGTTCCTCCCTAATTTTACCTTCCCTCTTAATCAGATGTCCTCTCCTCTTAATTACTGCTTATTTCCCTGTGTTAGGCTTGTTGTGTTTCTGCATCAGACCACACACATGTGCAGTGTGTGTGTGTGTGTGTGTGTGTGTGTTTTCAACTCTTCTTTGAGATATGCCATTCCCACCTTCCTTTCTCTGTGTCTGTACACTTATCTTCTCAAGCTCCTCAGTTGTGAGAAATAAGTTCTATTCTCTTCTTTCCCCTTCCTACACTAGTATATTTATTTCATTCTCCCTTCTCTCTTACATCTTAAAGCCTTCAGAACAGAATGAATTCACCCCTAGATGTTCTGCCTTAATGGATTTTTTTCATACCCTTTAAAGATGTTCTGAAGGAACACTCGTTTCTTCACCCTATATTAGAATGTTAGTACTACATCATTATACAGTTTCTTTCAATTTTGCTCAAATAAATTTACCTGTTTCTTTTTATTTTTGTTTATATTTGAAAATTTCTACTCATTCTTGGAAATGCTTAGCACATATTGTCTTATTTGATACTTACAATACTCTTGGGAGGTAGGTACTGTTATCTCTATTTTATATTAGAAGAAACTAAGGCTCATTGACTTGTGCATGTCATCAAGTGAATAAGTCTCTAAGGCATTTGAACTCAGATCTTCCTGTTGCCAAGTTCAGAGCCTTATGTTCTGTGCCACCAGGCAGCCTCAAGTCTGCTAAAAGTTTATTTTTTCCATGGTAGGATTTTAATCAGCTTGTACTGATTCTTGGCTAGAAATGCTCCTCCATACCTAAAAGTTTCTTTTTAAAAACCCATCTTTTTGTTTTCTTCCAGTTACATTACATAGAAGACAGCCATAGAGTATCTTCTCTAGTTGGAAAGAAAGTATAAATACATAACGAATCACTTGGTATGGACTGAATGATAGGCTACAAAAGCAAAAGAAAATGAAAATAATTGTATTTTTTTCATGCATTATCAGGCCTAAAAGGGACTTGAAAGGTCATCTAATCCAACATTCATTCATGAGAAACCTGAGGCCCAAAAACTTTCCAGATCTAAAATCCAGTGCACCTCCCAATTCCTTTCCCATTATGGAATGCTCCCTTTCCACAAAATCCTCCTCCTCAATCAGTATCAAATCCACCTGCTAACTACTATGAAATCAATTTCTTTTGATATGTCATTCAAATACATGAATCTGTTTTGAGGCATTAGAATATGTTATGTTGATATTTTTCCTGTCAGTCATTCCCATGAATTAAAAAAGGCAAATTATCAGGGAGGATTTCATTCATTACTCTATAACAGATTCACATTCAATTCACTAGCATAACTTTCTATCTTATTTATGATGCATACTTGGAAACCTCCTAGGACTATTATTTCGCAGGGATTACAGTAGCCATATCAATAAAGAATGTGCATATTCACTAGACAATAGTGACCATTATTATATGATCTATATTTTATAGGTAATAGTATTATAAATAATAGCCTTTTGTTGGATTTTAAGGTTTACAAACACTTTCAGAAATATTATTTTATCCTCTCACATTTGGGACTATTGTTGACTCCATTTTACAGAAGAAGAAAGTGTGTCTGTGTATGTAGGTTTATATACATATATATAGAGAGAGACAGAGAGAGATTTTTACATGTATATAGATATGTATGTTTGTAGTTCATTTCTGTGTATAGGTTTTATTTTTTCCAAAACAATTCTCTTCTTATCCTTACTTTCCCATTATAGTCAGTTCATTCTCCATTGATTCTCCTAGCTACCCAAACTTAAAACCTTAAAAATCATCCCTGCATCATTCATCTTTTTCATCTCAAATATCCTATCAGTGGCCGTCAGGTCACTTACATTTAGGCAATAGACCTTGTATCCTTACCATTTCCACTAGCTCAAGCTATTGCCACCTCTTATCTGAACTCTTACATTAGTCTCCAAACTAGTCTCTCAGTGTTCAGTCTCACTTCCAGTTGATCCAACATACTGCTGTCAGATTATGTATCCTAAAATATAGCTCTGATCATGTCACCCTCTATATGAAAACAAAAAGCACCAGTAATAACTTCAATGGTTTCCCATTACTTACTGAATAAAGTCCTGATTTCTTAGCCTACTGTTAAGGTCCATAACAATGGAGCTCCATTCTACCTTCATTTCACTACTCTAACCTTCCTACTCCCTATTCTCTACCCAAACTAGACTATTTACCCTTGTCCAGATGCATCCCAGAATGTCTTAACTTTGTGTCTTTTGCTCACATTATACCACATATCATACTATAAAGTATGGAACACCTCTTGTTGAAATCCCATCTACCCTTCAATACTCAGATGAAATGCTACCTCCTCCATAAAGCCTTCCATATTCTCCTAGCTGAAAATGATTACCCCTTTCATTCTAATTCTAATAAAACTGTCTTTGTATCACTGTTATTTCTTCCATACTCTTTTATGTTATATTTTCATATCTTTCCCATCCCCTCAAACTCTCCCCTCTTCTTAACTTCTCTTGTAGGTACCTTGATCCTTCCAGGCATCCTTGTTATCAGCCTCAGACTCATAACCAGCTCTTCCTTCTCCCTTTACCCCTTCCATTCAATCAGATACCTATTCTTATCTATCTTCATAACATCTCATATCCATTTTTTTGCTTTCTCTACACAGTCACCACCCTACCTCAAGCTCTCATTGTCTCTTGCCTTAACTGTATTAGTAACCTTCACTGTGTCTCTCTGCCTCCAATTTCTACCCTTTCTAATATGTCTTCCCACACATTTGCCAAAGTCATATTCCTAAAGCACAGGTACAACTATATCACTCACCTGCTTAAGAAACTACAGCGATTTCCAATTCCTTCTAATAGTAAATATAAATTTGTGTTTGACATTTAAAGCCTTTCATGACATGGCTCCACATTGCCTTTCCATCCATTGCCTTGATGAGAATAATTTTTTTCATGTTACATTCCAGCCAAGCTGGCCTTGATACTCCTCACATATAACATTCCATCTCTTATCTCTAAGCCTTTGCAATGGCTGTCTCCTCCCATCCTCCCTCTCCCCACCCATACCTGGAATGCCCTCCCTTCATTTCCTCATAAAATCAATAGCTTTTTTATGGCTTAGCTCAAGTGGCAAACTTACTTCAGGGTTTAGCTTCATATCCTCTACATGAGGCCTGTCATAATTCTCCAGATGCTGTCTTCTTTTCCTTTGCGGGAAATGTCTATATTTATTTTGCATATATTTATATAAATACTCATCATTTGCCCCCCCCAAAAAAAAAAAAAGAATGCAAGCTCCTTGAGAATAGGAGTAGTTTATTTTTGTCTGGATGTCCCCAGGACTGAGCACAGTACCTAGCTTAGCCCTTGATATGTAAAATGTCCTGGATAAATTAAATTGAATTGATTAATAAAAATCCACTGTCTCCTATCTCAGATTATAAATTTCTTAGGTTAAGGCCCTTCTTGTGCATTTTTGTTTCTATCTCAGTTCTTATCACAGTGCTCTGCAAATAGTACATGCTAAATATGTTGAAAAGAATACCACATTTGGAGTTAGAGCTCTGGATTTGAGACTAGGAGCTGATAGTGAGTAATTTCACCCATGGGTGATGACTGGTCAGGTCACACCACAACTCTGGGTTTTAGTTTCTTCATGTGTAAAATGAAAGCAATAATACTTCCTCTCTCTACTTCACTGGGTTACTGTAAAACCAATTACATAAAAATACATAATAATATATAATAATTCACATTTGCATAGTTATATATACATATATATGTATAAAATCTCATTTGATCCTCACAACAACTAGAGAGGTAGGTGTTATTATTGTCATCATTTTTAGAGATGAAGAAACTGACAAAGATAGGTTAATGTCAGGCTTAGGGTTACACAGTTATTAGGTGTCTGAGGCCAGATTTGAATGCAGATTTTTCTGACTCCAAATCCAGTATTCTATTCACTGTACCACATAGAGGTGTGTGTATGTGTGTGTGTGTGTGTGTGTGTGTGTGTGTGTGTGTGTGAAAATTAACTACTTGTTACTGGAATGTTAATCTACTATCAATTTAGATATAACTTCTATTTGCATATGTGCTGTTATTTCAGTAATTATCTATCTAATGTATATTCAGCATAATTCTTCCATCATCCTTTATTTCTTTTGCTATTTTATACAAGAAATTTCTGGAAAATTGAAGCTTGATTTTAATATCATTCAGCCAGATCATCATCTTTCTTGTATCTTTTCAAATCTCAACCAGTATACCTACCATTCTGCATTTCAATCTAAAGTTCCTCTCCCAAATCTGTTTCCAGTTCCTCTTTAGAGTTAGGTATTCACATGTTAAAGAAAATCAACTTCCTTTGTTTCACTCTCAAATTACTATAACAATAATCCATAAGAAACATGGGAAACAGTTGTTGACCAAGTCTATTCCTCTGGACTTCTGCAGGCATCTGAGGAAACATTGCACTCGAGCAATGAGGGCGAAGACCCATTCCGAGGAATGGAGCCTTACCTAGTACGGAGACTCTCCTGCCGTAATGTCCAGCTTCCTCCCCTGGCCTTCAGACAGCTGGAGCAAGCAGACTTAAAAAGTGAGTCAGAGAACCTACAAAGGCCCACCAGTCTTCCACTGAAGATTCTTCCACTGATTGCCATCACATCTGCAGAATCCAGTAGGTAAGTGCCAATGGGAAGAAGTTCCTAGTTCTATTTGGAAAAAAAAAAGTATTTTAGTGACATGTGTTTGTAAAAGTTTTGTTCCCTGAGTAGTATATATGCTGTTAAGAGAAAAAAAAAGGATGATTTCTGCATAGCATGCCAATTCTTTGAGGAGGGCCAATTTTGGTAATATTCCTGAGGAGGTTGAAGACATATTGATGGATGATAACAAGTAATTGGGAATAGCGTACCATTACTGAAAAAAAAAATATGCTGGGTAAATATAATGCAACAGAAAAAATCCCAAGCAAATTAGAACTGATGGAGAAATTACCATGTGGGAATAAGTATCTAGAAATAGTAGGCACTATTCATTGAGTCAAAATGAATTTGAAATCAAGGAGAGATTAATTATGGTATAATTAGAGTCAAAGGAAAAGATGTAATTACATTCATGTGTGTAGTAATCTGGCCTATAGCACTTTGAGGTACTGCTTACTAGAGTATTCTTTTGGTTCTAAGCCCAACGTGATTTTTTTCAGCTGTGAAAGTGAAGTAGAAGGACTTGAATAAGTAGATCTAACAGGATTGTGCCAATGGTCATTTCTCAGTTTTCCGGCATCTTGTACTTTCCACTTTGCAGGGGATTTTAAAAATTTCCATTTTCCCATCCTTTTTTGCTTCCTTTTATTCCTCACCCTCCCTCCCCATTTGAGGGCTTTTCATTATCTCCTTTGGGAATAAGGCTGGAAAAGGAAATAAAGCACAGATCTATCAAATGCTCAGATGGTTTGTAATATTTGCTGAAGCCTAAGTGAAGAAGGAAAAGTAGGAATCCAGCAGTTCTCATCTTGCCAGATAATCCAAAGATTGCTGCAGAGTATATTGCACACAGTGTGAGGAGGTGATCAATGGGCAGGAAGAAATTTTCAGCCATATTCTGGAAACATAGTTTCAAGATTTTTCTTAATGTGATCTTGCTGAGGTTTCTGTAAATATGGCCAATAACTCCTTTCTTTTTTTTTTTCTGAAGTTATTTGTTTGTTTTATTAGCTATGTGGTCTCTGGATACTTGGAGATATGGAGAACTACTCCTTGAATGATATTAGTTCAACTCACACTTTTTGCAAGTAAGAGGAGGTTTAACTTTCTTAGAATTGAATCTGTGATACAATGTTAGTAATGAGTAATGCCGTGAGTCCCTGCGTCAGCAGCCCTGGTCTGATGCTGGCACAGTGTGAAGAGAGAAAGAATCACGGGCCAGGTGGAAGATGTGAAGAACAAACTTTGTTTACTGATCTGAGGGCTCAGGCTTATATAGTACTGGATCAAGCAATAGTAACATTATTTTCCATGAAAAGCACAAACCTAATTAAGTGATTGCCTTACTTCCTTGTACCTTGTCTGTTAGTTTCTTTCCTGCGTCCTGTCCTGTACCCATCCGTTTCCTCCCTTCCTGCAACCTGTTCTCAAAAGACAGAACAGGGGGGTGGTGAGCCAACACTCTGAGTTTCACAGCTGTCGAACTTAGTACAAACTACAGGTAAGACCCGGGCTGGCCTAAGCCCTCCAACTCCCCAGAGCCGGCCCTCTACAAGTAAACTAAATAAACTCGTCCAGTTAGCTATCTCTAGGGTGGAGAGTGGGGGGGGGGGAAGCAAAAGGAAGAAAGTGACATGATAACTTCGTTATATATTTTAAAGGAATAGCAAGTTGTACATAATAATTTGCAGTTTCATGTATAATCATATTTTTTTCTATTCTACTATGTCATGGAAATGCTGATTTTATTTCTTAAGTTCAGAAAAAAATATATTTTTTTTTTATAAAAGGGTAATATTAGCCAGATTGCCTCAATAGACAAGAGCAAGTGATTCTGTAGAGTAGCTTGCTGCCCTGTTGTGGGGATAGCTGGTTCAGAACAGCATTTTTTTGTAATTTATACAAGGAGCGTTTGAGCCAACTTCCCAATCCTTTGGATTAACAGTTACCGTTTTCCCCCAGGGTAGCTGGCAGAATGTTCACTGTTAATCCCAAAATTTGTAGATTGACTAGTAGAGGGAAGCTGGGGTCAACTTTTGTTTCTTCTCAATACCTACCTCCCATAAACTACCACTTCCACCACTACCATTGCTACTTTTGTCACTAATTCTGTCCGTAATCATCTCATGACTGAGGAGTCTTAACCAAATTCCTGATCATGTGAAAGAGAAGAAAAATGGACAACAGTAACAGCAGTGGCAATAAGCCTGTACCAGTAGTAGGGGAGTGTTAAATAGACACTGCCTACCTTACATTTCTCCCCTTTTCATTTGATTCCAGTGAGATAGCCTGTTGCCAGCACCACATGGCCACCACTTCAGCAACCTAACTTAAGCCCTATCCCAATGTGGATCTTATGTGCAGAGTACCTGATTCTACCCACAGCTACTCAGCATAAGTGATATTATTAATATTCTGCACAAATGATAAGCTGTTCATTCTGGGACAGGTGAGAAGATGGAATAAACTATATTAATTATTAGAGATTCAATTAATTGGGAAAGAAGGAACATTGGAAAGTAGATATGACTTTAGGACTGTCTCTAGGCATGCTAAAATTATGATAGATCTTGCTCACTATAAAAGAAGACTATGTATTAAATATATCTCTTTATGGTTGGCCACTGTTTAATTAAAATCCACGGGTGGAATATGAGCTGGGATAATTGTGTAGCTAATTGTGTGTACTAAAAACAAACAAGTACTCTCCAAGGGCCAAGAGGGCTTGGATATAATGTTTTTGAAATCTTCTACACTATGACACCTTACTTGGTTCAAAGTAGAAACCAAGAGGCATATGTGTTTTAAAATACAATTGCAACATGCAAATATGTGAAGTATATTTCAAGGGAAGAATCAGTGTATTGAAAATCACAGGAAATGGTTGGCTTAATTTTGCTGAAACCAGCCAATGTCAAGACTGGTCAACTAACCACATTAAATAAAAAATAAAAGATCATTACCTCCTAGCCAGAAAGTTGCTATGCAATTAAATGTCAATAAATAGAGAAGACATGGGCAAATAATCCCAATATGGCTTAGCAGGAGGGAAAGTTGAAAGCAGAAAAGTAAATGCATCTGGGATTTACACAAGGGTGTGCTGACAATTACTTAATAACCAATTTGTTGAGAGAAAAAATGTACCCATAACACACATTATTAACAGTTTTCTCCATCACTTTCTTAAGTCTAGACAATCAACAAAACAGTAAATCAAGCCCTGATTCATAGTACTTGCCACTTTCAGAGGTATAAATGGTCACCCCAGAAATGTAATAATCCACTTAAAAGCCACTATGAGCTGCCTCCAGCATGACCCTAGAATTATCTTACTTTCTGTCTCTCCTCAAACTCCTTCCTATCCCTTCTTCCTCTCAAACAGGAATATGAGGACATTTTGATTCACTTAAAATAACTTGTTTTTTGATGGCTGTCTAATGAATGGCCACATTTGTCTTCAACAAACTACTCTGAACCTTTTCTTAGCTTTAACCAAAAAAACCCCAAACCAAACAATCCCCAACTTTTTTTTGGGGGGGGGGGGAGATCTTCTCCGCCTATCCCTGGCCTCCTTTCAGGGGCTGTTTTTTTTTTCCCCCTCTATGCTTTCATCTCATTTTTTCTCTCTCACCTTGAGTAGAGTATCTTAAAGCAGTTCTCTAGATTTGTTTAATACCCTCTGTAGAGCCACAACATGGCTCCAAAGAGTAATTGGTTTATGAACGGGATCTTTGGCCTATAAAAGTGCATTATGAATAGAGACTAATAGTTTCCTTATATAATGCCAAGACAAAATAGTTGTCAGACAGAGGTCAAGACAACTTTCATTTATGACTGCTTTAATGATTTCACCTCAGGTTCATTTCAAAGTGGGGATATGTGAACATGTTTAAATTTATATTCATACATCATTCCTTTGCATTTCTAACTGTGAAGTTGTTTGCATTCTGATTTAGTGAATGTAGTGAGCATTTTGGAAATTTCTACATGAACACAAAATAAAATCATAAACTTGGTACTCTGTGAGAAGCTACATTTCATCTTTCCCTCATAGAAGAGTAGGTTTGAAGTTTTATAGCCAGATCTTTGATGGCTTAAAGAAAAAAAACTGCACTGAAATATGACTGATTACTAGTTGAGAATGTTATTAACTTATTTAAAGAGGGTTGGAAGAACAAATGTAATTTGCCATGATAGACATTTCTGTATACAACCTAAATAACTTAGAAGATCTCTATTTACTTTTAATTTAGTGGTGACACTGATTGCTTTTCCAATATTAGTCTGTGTGTGGGTGGGTGGGTGAGTGAGTGGGTGTATGTCTGTGAGAGGAAGGCAGAGGAGAACATGGTAGAGAAATAATCAAAGGAGATAAGTATGGGAAAAGCAGAAGGGTAAAGAAATAGAGAAAAGGTGAAGAACAAGAAGACTAAGAAAAAAAGGATAGAGAAGAAGAAAGTTAAAATGATTAGGGTAAATAAAGAACTGAGAGAATAAAGGACTTAGGAAGTAAAAGAATTTAACAATCACTACTCTTAATACTACGCTAGTTCCCAGGTACTTCAGGGGAGAATCGTTCCTCTGAAATCTCCATCTCTGCTAAAAGATCTTATTTGTATATTGGTTCCACTGGTGGATATTTTCTCCCCTGCATGATTTAAACCAGAACATTCAGGAAAAGAGGATAACCAAGTAAGCAAGAACAAAAAGAAAAAGAAAAAATCATGGCATATACCTACAGTGAAGGCAAACCAAACAGAGCTCTAGAGTCATAGCATATAGAGTCAGAATAGGCCTCAGAGACTGATAACCTACTGTAACCTCCTCATTTTAAATGTACATTTATTTGGTGTCTGTCATTACATCAGAATCATTTTTTAAACTTCCCCACCCCCTCACAATTAAATCAGCCCTAATGAACAAAACTTGGCCCAGATTTTAATCCCTTTCTTCTTTACCCAGAGTCTAACTTCCCA